GTTTCCTAGCTACCTAACTACTAGATTTTTTTTCCTAGCTACCCTAGCTAGCCTAACTACCAGAATTTCTTTCCTAGCTACCCTAACTACCTGAATTTTGCCTTCTATACGGCGGCTCTCTCTTACTAACGGAACCGAGCTACTATACCTAACGAATCTAAGCTCGTTTTTAGTCTTAATCTATCCTCTTTCGGTATAAGACACTCGATAAGCAAATGCTTAGGCCGAGTCTAACTACGAAACCTAAGACTAACTAATAGCTCTATTAACTAATCCTAATCCTCGAACTCCTTCCGCTTCTTAGTAAAGACCTTAAAGAGCGCTCGAGCTTCTTCGGGTACCTACGGAGTAGTCGAGATAAAGCCGTATCGCTAAAATAGGTAATCCTTCGGAGGCTTATATAGAGATTTAGAGAATTCTAACGCTAACCTATCCTACTAGCAGCTTAGATTCCGGATATAAGCCCTCTCTACCTTAGTAAAGATTTTATATAGTAGTAGTACTCTGCCTTCGAGAAACGCTTTCTATTTAACTGTTAGTATCTGCCGGCTACGAACGCCGGCTATATATACCGAGTATAGAATAATTACCTATATCCCTTCCTCCTATAGTAATACTTCTGCCGTCCCTAGATACCTAGCCCCGATCGCATTAATCGCAAGCTACTTTGCCTTTATAGACGCAAAGGCTTCGCTCTAATACTAATAAAGAAACTTCTACTCTATATCGAGGATACAAAGACGACTAGTCTCGATTCCAATCCTTACTAGCTTTTCGTAGTAGCTTTAACTATGATTTTCTAGATTAATAGGACTTATGCCTTAGCCCTTTACTAGTATCTCGTCTCTTTAACTATACTCGATCTACTCCTAGCGCTTATCGTCTATAGCGTTAGGCCCTAAGACTGCACCTATTACTAGATCGACGTATAGTATCTCCTCGCTTTTTTTAGTTCCTTTATTCGTAGTATTAAGCTCTATCGCGGCATCCTAAACTCTAGCATTGTTGTTCTCGGCTATCTAAACATCTCCGTTACTATCGGTCGTATCGATAGAGGTAGCGGCTACAGGTCTAAATGCTATTAGTTAACGTATTAAAGAAAAATATGCCGGCTACAGCTGCCGGCTACGGCTGCCGGCTACAGCTACTAGCTACGGCCGCTAGCTAGATTGACTTACGCTACTAGAACTTTACGCTCGAAAACTAGCCGTAATTCTTTCCTCCTCTTAGCCTTCTCTTAGGTTGTCTTCTTATTCTAACCTTCACTTTTTTCTATAGGCGCTAGCTATCGATAGAATGCCTTATTCCGCGCCTTTCTTCTCTTATCCTTAGCTCTTTTATCCTTATCTATCTTGTCCTTTCTCTCGCGGTCTTATACGGAATTCTTCTTCGTAGAGTACTCCTCTTTAGTCTTACGCTTTTTAGTTAGACGCTTAGGCAAAACAAACTCGCGGTCTTTAGTTCTATCTTCTATTTAGCGCGCGGCGCGCTTTTCTCTTACTATTATAAGGGAAAGGGGCGGGGGCGTAGCGTATAGTAGTTATTATCGGTATAGGTATAGAGGAAGAAGTTGAAAGTGTAAGAATATCGCGAAGCCCTAATTGTTACCGCCTACGTAACGTTATATAGGTAAGCTTTCGTAACTATAGCAACTACGCCCCGGCAATAGTAACTACGCCCTAGCAACGGCAACTACGCCCTAGCAACGGCAACTACGCCCTAGCAACGGTAATAAAGCGTAGTAAATACAACCTAGTAACTATTATAGCCGGCAATCGTAGCCGGCAGTCGAATAAGAGTGTCCTTATAGCAAAACTACGCCCTAGTAACGGCAACTGCGCCCTAGCAACAGTAACTACGCCCTAGCAACGGTAAAAGAGCGTAGTAAATGTAATAGAGTTACTATTATAGCCGGCAATCGTAGCCGGCAGTCGAATAAGAGTGTCCTTATAGTAAAACCAATATAGTCTCTAGTTCAAACTAGGAATCTATATAGTTCGAAAAAACCAAACCGGAACTAGAAAGCTAGTTCGCCGCTAAGAAACCAAACTATATACGTTTAGTAGTTCGGAAACCGAACTACTACGGGGTCTACGTAAATCTTCTAGACTAGCGTAGTAGAATACCGCTTAGGTAGGCTGCAGAGTAGTATAGTAAAGGGTTCTTACGGCTTTTCTTGTCTTATAACAAGGTCGACATTTATACTCGAGATTTAAACGGCGATACGGTCCTCGACATTGCTAGGAAACGCAACTCTAACTCCGTTATAACTTATACTATTGTTAGAGGAAGCTTAAGAACGAAGATCAAATTAGGCTATATATCTATAAAGAATTAACTAGGAATAGTAAAGAGTTCTAACTATAGTCTCCGTAATTATTTTTACCGCCCGATACTTATATACCTAGTATCTAAGCAAGTAGGCTAGGAGTCGCATTCTCCCGATACGCCCGAAGCTTTTATATACCGCCTTAGCTCCTCTATGTTTTTAGAAAGTTTCGAGGGAAGATAGAACCTAGGGGCGCAGCTCCCGCTTATAACGCTCTCCTCCTAGCGGAAGCTAATATATTAGTATTAGGAATTTTGTTAAACTTAGCGTACTCTACCGCAATAAGGGAAAGCATACCTATACCTGCCCTAGCTACCGCTATACTATTCCTATCTTGCGATTTGTATACTCGGAATCTAATAGTATTGCCGAGGACGACGCCGTAGCTATAGCTAATACGAAAATAGTTATTATAGTTGCTATCGATATTAAACTAAGAGCTAAGCTATCGATATTAGTATACCGCAGTCCGCTAATAAGCGTAGTAGAGTTGTAGGTAGCGCACGCCGACGAGTCTTTATAATTCTACAAGTCTATTTAAAGGCACTACCTCGATATATAGCACTTGTTTCGCAAGGTACTAGGGCCGCAGCTCTGCTTAGGTTAGATAAGACGCCTAGAACATTATCTAAATAGCGGTATAATCGAATAGGCAATACGGAAAAAGCAGCCGTCGAACTATATATAGTATATAATAGTATAGTTAAGCAATTGCAGTTAGAAGCTACCTCGCGACGCTATATATAGAATATCTTTTCGATAACAACCTATAACCTAACGCCCGGACATCGAACTAGCTATCGAAAGGAGCATTAGAGATAGGCTAATATACGATTAGATACTCTACGTCGATTTATCTGCTACTGCCTTAAACTCCTTCTTAGTAACTTCCCTATACTAGTTACAGCCTACGTCTATTAGATACGCTAAATTAATATTCTTTACGAGATGCTTACCGCCTAACGCTATAGCTATATACGTTATAATACTACTCCCGCTCGCCCCGTACTAGTGTTTCTCGCCGCTAGGAATATAGACTATATCTCTAATACAAAGCTTTCTTAGCTACTAACCCTTACTATAGATAAGCCCTTCGCTACTAGTAACGAATAGGATTTGGCCTCTTTCGTACGTATACTAAAATGTTCGGGACCTAGGCAAGAATATAACGTTAGCGCAGCTGCAATCTAAGTCGTCTTTAGAAACAAATACTAGGTCGGCGAACACGATACCTATAAAGGTTTTCGGAAGTTATATAGTCGTAGTACCGAGTACCCTAGTATATCGGATAAGCTATATACTTATAGATACTTAGTAAAGGGACCTATTAGTTCTACGATCTTATCGACGTAGAAGTTATAATTTATAAATGTATTAAAGTAGGCTATGTTCGAGTTTTATAGAATCAATATAGAGCCTAGATAGCTCGGGCCCGACCGAATACTAGAAAGAGTAATAATAATAATATAATACCTCTATACTAATATAATACAGGTATTATATACAGCTACGCTAGACTTAGGTTATAGAGTTTCTTACTAGCTTTAACTTTACTATTAGTATAGGCTTCTCCTAGACTAAGTAGACCTTCTACTCGGCCTAGTCTTCCGGGAAAAGGCGAACGATATCGAAATGCTATATTAGCCTCGCGAGTATTAACCTTATTTCTATATAGGCTAGATTGCGACTAAGACAGTCCCTTAGTCCGACTAAAAACACCTAGGTAGCTTCCCTCCGATCGTTACCGTATTTAGGGTCCTCTTAGGTCTACCGTTTAGGGATGAATTTGTTAGGGTTACGGAAGTTTAGCTTACTCCTATAGGCGGCAAATATTAGAACCCTAACGGCTACGTTACCGGGTATAAACTAGCTATCGATTAGAAGTCTATCCTTAGGGGTAAAACGAGGATACGTTACTAGGGATAGAGCTTAGATTCGAAGGGTCTTATCTAGGCATACTAGAAGATATTAGTACTAGTTTATAGCGGCAATATTCATCTCCTAGGAATCTGCAAATTTACTTCGAACTTCTTCGGTTGCCTTCTATAGTTTATTAGGATATATAACTAGCTAATAGGTAGTATATACGAGTAGGGCTACTAAGGTTTCCGTTCCCGTAGCTATTAAGAATGTAGCATTAGAGTTAAGCTAGAATATAGTTATTTTGCCTTCCTTATAAGTCGCTATAAGCTTGTCTAGAAATCCCGTAGTATCCGATATACGATTAAGGCTATAAGAAACCTTTTCCTATAACTTCGTTAGCAAAATAAAGTAGTTTACGAAGACTAGCGAATACCTAGCTAACGGCGTAAACGGTCTTGTAATCCGATATAAATTTCTTTGTTAAGAAGGTAGCTATAAAAGGATACCGCAAGAGCTTTAGCAATTTTTCTAATGCTTAACTAAACGCTATAGGTCGACTAAGATTGCGGAACTTCTATACCTATATATATAGTGTCGACGTATTAAGACAGTCGAGGGTCTCGCTATAAGTAAGATAGGATATAATATCGAACGCGAAGAAATTATACTACTTAACTAGGTCTATTTGTCGCTACGCCTAGCTTTCCTTCTTAAGATATATAATAAAGACGTCGACTAACTGCTAAATAATTGGTTCTTATAAACGAAGAGCAGACTCTAAGAAGCTATATACTAGTCTCTTTCTAAGCTAGGAGTAATATTCCTTGTCGCTAAAGAGTAGGGTCGCCTCGCCTATACCGCTATAATACTTATTATCTTTACGTAGCTCGGGTCGTCCTAGAATAGAGCCGTAGATCTCTTTAATAGCTACAGGGCTAATAAAAGACAATTCGTTAGGCGAAACTCTTACAATCGGACTATATCTATTATACAAATCTAGTGTTTTCTTAGGCGTATCTCCTCGAACAAGACAAAGAAAATATAGCAGCTCCGATACAGCTCGCAATCTAGGCCTAGGGAATCTAGCAAGCGGATAGAAGAATATATTGTATATCGCAACCGTAACTAAGTAAACAACTATCTGCTATCTAATTAGCTACGTGTATTATTAACCCTTCTTTTTAATTATAACGTAGCATACGAGGAAGACTGCCGCCTTTATAGCAAGTAGAAAATTACTATTCTAGTAAAGATTCATTGCGACGGATTGTTTTTTGTCCTTTAGATCGGCTTAATATAGTCGGGAAAGTAAGACGAGGTACGCTATAACTGTTAAGGATACTATATATAATAAGCGGCGGCATATCGCTACCTTACTTCCGACGGTTGTCTAAACCTTAGTAATTACTATTACTACGAAATTTAGGCAATAGCAATATAGATAGTAATTACTAGATAGTAATTGCTATACTACTACTATATTACTACCTTTTATTAATAGAAAGGTTCTATTAGAATAAGAGATTCTTAATAGCTTTCTATAGATATTATAATAGGGGTTATATAAGCAGGTAGATAGTATAGTTAAAAGCGGATAGTATTCGATAAGGTTTATAAAGAAGGAAGAGGAAGATTAGGAAGTTAGGCTAGTACTAAGCGCTAAGCCCTATCTAAGGTACTAAGATCCTAGCTTTACTTAGCCGGCTATATACCTTTTATATAGCCTCTAGTAGATATAGTACTACTATATACATTTTCTAAAGATTATATAATATATCTATAAAAATAAAGTACTTCTCTATATATAATAGGATTCTAAAAAGAAGTAGTAGTAGTAATTACTATTACTACGTCTTAGAGTTTCTATCGTAATTACTATAGAAATAGTAATTACTGCTTACTAAGGTTTAGACATTATTGTCTTCCGTTATTTAAACACATTAGGACTAGGATAGAAGTATAAAGAAAAGTCTAAAAAGACTAATAATACTATAATCGCTTAAGTGCACTTCGGACATATATCTTCTATATTGCTAAATGTCTATAGAATCGCCTAAAGCTTAGCTACGTGCTTATTCTTATAGAACATTGTCTTTCGCTTAAAACATACTCGAGCTAACATGTCCGGATACATATTAGCGTCGATAGTAAAATTCTTAGGTCGTTAGCAACTATTAGGAAGCCTCTAATCGAACCTTAGTAGCAAGTAAGTTATAATCAACTTAATCTCGTTTGTAATAAAGAACCTTCCTAGGCAAGCATATCTGCCGTATCTAAAAGCTATATATACAGAGTCTATTATACTAAACTAGTAGCGGTTAGCATTCTACGGTTGTTTACAAAGACGCATATATCGCTAAGGATCGTAAACTTCTAGATTACAACCCGGTACGAGGTAAGAGTCCTATAGCATTTAGTTTTAAAGTACCGTAATGCGAGTTCCTTTCGGTAGATGCATTCTATTCGAGAGTAACACTGCCGTTAGAAGAATTCGTTAAAACGTTAGTAGGAATACTAGATTTAGGCGCTATAATTCTTTTAGCAAGCTATTAAGCTTAACTAGCCTTTATAACCTATCTTTATCGATCGATACGGAAGATCGGAACACTTCGGTTATTTCGTCGTAAATCTCTAATAAGTAGTCTAGATAAGAGCAAAGATCGAAGATTGCCTAAGCTATAGTAAGCGCTATAGTATGAATAGTAGAGAGGCTAATAATAAGCATTCGCTAGGCAAAATTGTCTAACTCTAGCTCTTTTCCGTCGGCTAGTTCCCTTATCTATTTAAGTATAACGTGTTACGTAGTGCTGTCTTGTAATCGATCCTATATTATATCTCTAATTATCCGCCGTATGCTTGCGATATTCCTAAGTAGACCCCGATACGTTAGTAGTATCGGTACGAAGACTAGTCGCAACTACCGTAGTATAAACCGTAGAATAAAGCCGGTTAGAAATACGTTCTTTGTGTATTCTTCTATCGTTTCGAGCTACTCCTCGTTTCGGCAATCTTTTAGGCTAATTAGAATACGAGCACTAACTCGTTTAACGATCCGGGCGAGGATATTAGTAATATCGAGCTCGACCTATTCCTTGTCGTCGCACTTAGGCAACTCCTAACCTAGAGCGAAGTCTAATTCGTCTTTTATATAGAGTACTAAGGTGCTTAAGTTTAGTGTAACTTTCTACTATAAGACGCGATTTTGTAAGTTACTCTCGACGAAAACTTCTCCTCGCGTATACTCGCTACAAAAGTTATTAAGGAATGCCTATATAGAGCGGCTCGAATTATTAGTGCTCGCTCGAATTTCCTAGATAAGTTTATAGTTATAGATTAAGACTACGTCTCCTATTAACCGTAGTATAGTACAAGCGTCCGCGTTATAGTTGTTAATTAGTAAATAGCAATAATTACTAGTTACTATAATTATATATAATTATAATTATAATTATTAAGTAAGTGACTAGTAATTATAATTACTAATTAGTCGGCATTTCTAAGGCAATACTAGGGTATGTATTATACCTATAGAGGGTATTAAATTTGCACTGTTTCTACCTGTTTCTATACTGTTTCTATAGACAATAATACACTCGCAATAGGCGCCTTTTACTAAGAGGTAAGTAAGTAAAATCCGGGTACAGAATGTCGCTAATTCGGATAGGTTGCTAAGTTAGTGTCTTCTAATAAAGACCTCTTACTATCGCTACTACTCTAGACTTCTAATTAATCGACTAAGGCCTTCTTAGCACTATAGAGCTACTATCTATAGCTAATATATAAGGATATACTAGCTGCTTATCTAACTCTTAGCGAGACCGACTATTGTATTAGTCCTACTTAGCTCTATTTCTAACAAGCCGGCATTATGTCCTTTATTAACGAAGTAGCGTAGAACGACTTCTAGTAGTATATCGGAGAGGCGGAAAAGGAGGGTCTATAGCTACTATTCCGCCGGATTACGAGGAAGACTACGAAGAGCCTCGTATATACGGTAGAAATCGTTCGAAGGGCCGGAGAATATTAAGAACGTATAGCTAAAGGTGTTCGAAGAGTGCGTAAAGCTATAGATCGGAAGAGGAAGCGAATAGCGCTAGGTTCTTGTCGTTACTTTAAATTCGGCAAGAAACCGTGTCTCTGCTTATTTGAGTGCTCTCTCGGGCAGAAACGGTAGTATTCGCGGCGGTAGATATATTTTAAGGCTCGGATCGACAAGGTACTATATCGTCTAATCTATAGTAAGGGTCTCGAGAGTCGTACTAGCGGTAGCGAGGTTGTTATAGAAGATTAAGTATAAGATTAGTCGTAGATTAGTATTCGAGCTTGCTATCGTACCTGCCTAAACCGCGAAGATTGCGTCACTTTAGTACCTTAGGGTCTAGTAAAGCCTAGTAGAAGAGCCTCGCTTAACGCGGACGGCGAGGGCCGCTAAGCTTAGTACTATACTAGCAAACTCAAATCTCGAGCTTTTATTGTTTAAACTATAAGAACAATACCTTCGATATGCGAGACAACCTACGTAAGAAGCATAAACCGACTTAGAAAGTGCTAGAAAATTGTGCTGATACCTAAGGACTATATTAGGAAAACTAGGTTCTAGATCGGATACTATTCTATAAAGATTCGAGCGATCTAAGCGATATACTAACCTCCGAAGCTAATGCACCGCCGTCTCTAATACTAGATAAACCGGATCTGGATACCTTATTCCTCTAAGACTCTAGTACTTCTATACGACTATTAACCTCGTAGTTATTATCGAATATACTAGCGCCTCCTCTCGCCGAGTTAAAGAAGCGGAAACGATACAGAAACTAGCTAGATCCGGCGTTATAGGAGCATTCTAGACCTCTAAGAGATAGTAAACCTCTAAAAGTCGATAGAGGTAGGTATAGGGCATTCTACTATAGGTACTACGAAGACAACGACCCTAATCGATATAGATCTAGTTCTAGTAACGTACCTTAGCACTTAGCGAAGAAACACTTTATCTACGTTAGTATTAAGAAGCAGAAGCGTAATAGTATATACGAGAAGCAGTCGAGGATTAATCTCTCCTTATTATAGAAGTAATAAGGCACTATCGATGCGGATAAGACTATTAACATTCTAAAGAACGCCGCGGATAAGAACAAGTTTAGATATGCACTCGCTCGCTATACTACTACTAGCAGTATTGCTTATAATGCCTTAGTTACGAAGGAGTTTAAAGAGATAATACTTGCTATTAATCCTTATACTAAAGAGGCCCTTCTTAAGAGCTGTATATCGCTATATCCTCGTATTCTATATAACTTCGAGAGCTAGCGAGAACTTGTTAAATAGGCTCTATAGGTAGCGCTTAGCTGTCTTTACTTCTACACTAATACTTAGAAGTTATAGTACGGCTATAAGTTCTTCTAAGCTATTAATTGCTAGTGTATTAGCGTATACGGACAGCTAGTTCAAATACTGCTAGATATACTACAATTGCTACCTAGCTCGCACTTAGGTAACTTCCTCGCTAAGAGCGTTATTCTATACTTTAAGCCCTTCGAGATAGCTAGCAAGCTAGGCTAGATAACGACTAATAGTAGCTCTAATAATAACACTCTCGCTGTCGCTATTAAGCGCTTTATAGACTCGTAAGGGCACTCGTACTAGAAGAACCGTCGGCTACGCTATATTAGATATATTCTTAACCGTATAATAGTAGCCTTTATATTTACTAAGGACATAGAGACTGCTAAGAGTAAGGAGTTTAATTAAACAGTAATAAGTAACGATAGTAACAATATCTCTATCTCTAGGCAGCTCGATATAGACGTAGAGTCCTTTATTAAGTAAGGTCTACTATAACGGCTATTCGTACTCGCTAAGCTTCTATATAAGAACGATAACAACAATATCTTCTAAGAGGTCTGCAAAGCGTAGCCTTAATTGCTATATATAGTACCGAAGATCCCTAGTAAGATACGCTAGAATAGTTAGCTTCTACTAATCGAAGAGGCTATTTAAACGAGGCCTATCTTAAACACATTCTTCGATAGAATGCCGCACCTACGCGAGTTTAGCTTATCGGACGACGATTAGAGGGTTCTTGTCTATACCCGGAGGTTCCTTAACCCCTTTAAAGAGGTTACTCTACGGCTAGAAGGCTACGCTATTACATTCGATATATATTAAGAGTCTATAGAATACTTAAGGAGCCACTTTACTCGCTTAGCTACTAAGAATACATACCGGACAGTCCTTATTCGATCGATTAGTATAGTAAGAACGCTATTCGAGAAGTACTATATACTAAACTAGAAGAACCCTCTCTACGTTACTATAGTGTTACTATACCTAACTCGACGACTTGCCTAGCTTAAGAGCCGGTCCGTAGTAGACGTTAACGTCGCATTGTTATATACTAGAGCGCTCTAGAATAAGTATAAGACACGCTTCGGAAAGAGCCGTTAACTATAGTCTACGTAGCAACGGTCGTTTAAAGGGCTCTCGGACCTAGAGCGCTAGTAGATTAAGTCTTAAACTAACCTAGTTGCTACTAAAGAAGACCCCTTCGAAGCCTATATCTACTCGAGTCTAATAGTACTACTAACAGTTAGCTTCGAGAAGCCGGTTTAAATAAGTCCTATTAAGTAGTAGGTCTAGTAACGGAAGACCTGCGATTTAGTACTATAGTAACTAGCTATTAACACACTGTCCGTATTCGCTATATCCGTAGAGTCCGAGAGAACCTTTAGTAAGAGCCGCCGTACTACTAGATAGGACTGTATACGACTAAGTAGCGATTATATTCGAATAAATGAATGCTCGAAGAGTTAGATAAGAATAGGGGTTACTAAAGTGCTATTAGAATTAGCCTTACTAGAAGAGGCGGAAGATCTACTATTGCCGGCCTCCTACTTAGTTAGTAGCGCCGCTAGTAGCGACGATAGTGTATAAATATGCCTCCTTCTTAACCCTAATCGTTACTACGGTCGCTAATTACGTAATTATGTGACTATAACTACTAATTATTTACTTACTATTAACTATAATTATAATTATAGGCACTGATTAGTAATTACTTACCAATTAATAAGCATAGTCCGTATACTAGATTAATCCTTAGCGCGACTAGCTATCTTAAGATATAAGTTAAGTCTTACGCTCTTATACCCCTATTTAATAATATTTCTACTATTACGAATAAAGCGAAGACGTAGTAGCTAATCTATTTCGAACCTCGTTCGACGTCCTATAATAGGGAGTCTAGTTCTTGCCTTGCGGTCTAGTAGTATAGACGCCTAATATAGGCTAGCGACGAAGATAATCGAAGCACTCTAACTATTAAGTAATAACATTGTTTAGGCAATTAAATTACTTTATAACGGTGTCGAGTATTCGTTAGTACTACTAGTCTATTATCTCGAAGCTTCGCGATATAATTAAACTACGTCGTAGGAGGAATCGCTAGAATAGCCTAAGTATCTATATTCTTATTACGAGGAAGAAGATTCGAGTATAGTAATTAATATACGGTTCTACGTTATCCTAATCTATCGATATCCCTTATACATTTCCTAGCGATCTAGACAATCCTTAACCTAGCTCCGCCGAAAAGCCTCTTAATTAGTAAATGCTCGGCAGCTAGTTCGCAAGTACTATCCTACAGATTACTTTAGTACTATCCTTTAGAGTTAGAGCTACCGACTCCCTAAATTTTAACACTCTTTATTCGAGACTAGTCTAGTATCGCTTCGCGTCTAATTTCGGACCCCTAGCCGCTTTCTATAGCCTTATTAGCATATTACAAACTTGTCTAGTTACTCTTAAATCCAACGTTAATAACTTACGTTTCTAACTACTAATAGGAGTATTCGGCTCCTAAGGAAGGTACAGGACCCTATTAACTCCTATATATCCTACCTTAAGTCGTTTAGACGTTCGTAAAGCTCGCCCGAGATTATTAGTCTAAACAAATGCTCTAAGCCTATACTCGGACTTATTAGCATAACGAATAACCTCCTCCTCGCTACGGAACTTGAATATTACTAGTATAGGGCTAAATATCTCCTCTTTAGCGACGGCTAGGTTAGGCTCCGGGTTAATAATAAGAGCTAGTCGAATATAATATCCTCTCTTAAAGATTAATCCGCTACCGATTACTATAACATTTCCTAGCTTCTTCGCGTTTTCGATATACTCTAAGACTCTGTCTCGTTAACGGTGATTGAATAATAGCGAACTCTAAGTAGTTATATCCCTAGGATTAGATCCTAGATTCTGCTTATACAATTGTATACTAGCTTTAATCTTTTTAGAAACTCTATTAAATATTGTCTCGTAGACGTATACTCTAGTGCTTAGTATGCAGCCTTGTCCGTTTAGCATTAGGAACTAATAGTAGTGCTCGGCCGCTCGGTCGAGATCGGTATCGGGAAACACAATTGTAGGCGATTTGCCTCCGAGTCCTAAGGTTACACTTTTAAGATTTAACCGAGCTACGGCGATCTAAATAAGCCGTACTGTTTTTAGACTTCCCGTAAAACTAATTTTCTAGATCTTTATATAAGATACGAGCGCGTCTCCGGTTAGACCGTTACCCGTTACGCTATTAATAATACCTAGAGGGATACTAGCTTATATCGCTAGTAATACGACTAATAGAGTCGACAATAGATTAAGCTCGCTTGCTTTAACTATTAAAGCATTTCCTATAGCTAACGCTAGCGCTATCTTTATAGCGTAGCAGACTAATAGCGCGTTATAGGGCAAGATTGCTACGCAGACCCCGTAAGGCTGTCTACTAGTATATCTAAGGGCTCCGGCTTTATAGCTTAGGAGACTGCCGCTTTTATCGTCTAGTAAATTGGTATAGTCTTATATATGCTCTTAGTAAGCTATAAGACTGTCTCTTAGCTAGATATATTAATCTTATATTATAACGTTTTAATACACGCATCGATCTTATATATACTAAATAAGCGCGCTTTGCTAACGAGGATAGCTTCTAGCTAGATAAGCTCTTCGTAAGAGTCTCGAATAAGGTTAGTATACGTACGAAGCGCATCCCGCCGTTAATCCTTTAGCTATTACAAAATTAGTCGGTCGGCACTTTACAACGGGATTTTACGTTAACTAACCTTGCCTAGAGCTTGCTATACTCTTAGGCCGTTTGTAGCGTTTTCTATAGCAAGATTAACATCTTCTACGGATGCCTAATATAGATCTTTAGATTAGATTAGTCGGACACTAGGACCGTCTCGTTTACACTTTTAGAAGTCTAACCTTCGCATATTACCTAATTATTAACAGCTAAAACTAGCTTGTGCGTATCCTACGACTTGCTACTAACCTACTATCCGTCTAACTATAATTTATACGGAATTTTATAGCAGCTAAGATTAAAAACTATAGAAGCTATTGCCCTAATCGTTCGTGTTAACACTCTTAAGATTAATTCTTTAAAAAGTGTAAGGTTTCCGAACTACGTAGTCGGATCTCGTTACGTTACGGTTATATAATTAAAACATCCTAGTAGTCGAGGGTATAATAGATAGAAAGATTAAGCGTAACACTCGTATATAGTCCGATTATAGTAAGCGAGATAGTAGACGGGTATATTCCCGTTAACCGCAACTATAGCCGAAACTACTTAGCCTAATACCTACTAAAGACTAACATTTTAGCTTCTATACCTCGATTAAGCGAGATAGCGGACGGCGGTAATCCCTAAAAACGGGATCTAACTAGTTAAAGCTAGCGTACTGCCTAAAGGAATTGCCCGTACCTTTAAAAGGTTTACGTCTAACGCTTTTAAGCTAGCTACCGTTTACGGGGATTACCCCCGTCCGCTATCTCGCTTAATTGTACTATATAAGTTAGATCCTGTATTTATAAGGATATACCCGTCTACTACCTACCTTAATCGGAGTAGCGTTCTACGCTACTTAGAAGCCCTACTAAGATGTATATAAAAGTGTCGACAAATAGGTCCTTCGTATCTATATATATCGTTTAGATTCCGCGTATATCCGTTAATCCCTCGACTTTTAATAGTATCCTTAATGCTTCTACAAATAGCGGGAATATCTTAATAGCTAGTCCCTAATAAGTAAACGAACCTAGTCTAAGCTTAGCTTTTAACGCGTTATACCGGTTCTCGTAGTCGACACTTTATTAGGGCCTACCTAGTTCAAAACGCAGGGTCTAGTCCTAGACGCTTACAATATGCATTGCTCTAGACTGTAGAACGGAGAAAGGAGTACGAATGAACCGAGTTGCGGGACTCAGGCACGAAGCAGACCGATTGCGGATTTGGTAAAGACATCGACGGTGTAATTAATAAACGCAAACTTACCGCCGAAGCTTTGCAGACAGGCGTAACTTTGAGCGGCAGTCAGGAGTGTTCAGTTCGAATTTCGTATTCCCGGGACTACTGTCGGCCGCCGGACTAGAGGCTGAGATCAAGAGTCCGTTCACCAGTTTTCAGTTGAGATTATTGCAGACCGATTGCAAGTTTGCAAACCTACTTGGGTTTTGAACTGAACAGGCCTTTGTAATAAAGCTTCGCGGAAGCAAAAGCCTTCGCCGAATACGGGCAATTGCGACTTGCTGATCTGACGTACAGAAAGCATTTGCATCTCTCGAGGACTTGATGAAGCATTGTCCCTTCGGCGTACAATCAACACTCGTACATACCAATATGTCCTCTCCAACGACCTCCGGCGATGACAGTAAGGGCAGCGACTGCAGCTTTTCGTCAAGCATCTATGAACGTTCAAGCCAAGCACGATCGTTGCTCGACAGAGCCCTAGCTCTCAACCATGCAAGATATGGATTCTCTACCGCCAGTTGTCAGATTTATGATACCGCTTGGGTCTCCATGGCACGTTCCTCTTCCATGTTCTCATAGAGTAGAAAGTTCTAGCACTAGAGCTTTACCGCATCTCCTCACAGATGGCTAATCAAACTCTTATAGATCAAGAGATCAACAAAAGGCATCGTAGAGTGGACTTTCCCGGAGTCGTTTCACTGGCTCATCAGAGCACAGAACAGCGATGGATCCTGGGGATCCAGCAAAAGCTCACGAACCGCCAAAGCCATAGACACAGCAGCATCACTTCTAGCTCTGCTCAAACACGCGGAATCGCCGCTGCAGCTTCACGAGTACGGATCGAGCGAGCTCAAAAGTCGAGTTCAGTCGGCATTAGAAAGCCTCACCACGCAACTTCGTCATTGCAACGATATCGAGAGTACCAATCACATCGGTGTTGAGCTGGTGCTCCCGGCCTTGATACGATACCTTCGAGAAGAACTGCCATCGTCAAACTTCTTCCTTCGGGTCCCTGCCGCACTGGAAGCCATGTCAGAAGCCAAAGCCTCGCAGTTTCAGCCAGAACTACTGTACAAGCAAAAATGGTCTCCAGCAATCTATCATCTGGAAGCATTTGTCGGCAAAATTGACTTTGACCGAGTCACTCAACAAGCTTTCGAGAATGGCTCCATGTGGACCTCGCCGGCAGCGACAGCGGCTTATTTGATACATGCTACGACGTGGGATGATCAGGCTGAGGCCTATCTGCGCCATGTGATCCGCGAAGGTCAAGGTCATGGCAATGGAAGTGTTCCCGGTACCTTTCCGACGAAATTGTTTGAGTTTAACTGGATTGTAGCTACGCTCATAAGCGCTGGCTATGACTTATCCGAGCTCGACAGTTTCACATTGGACAGAATTGGATCGATTGTGAAAGCGGAATTTTTGGCGGGACATGGAGTCATCGGTCATGGTAAGTATTTCGAAATACGTAGTGGCATACCGTTTCTCAAGCTGATGATCATCCTGTAGCTGCTGTACGATCACCAACGATACTGAATTTTGCACGAGACAATCAGCTTACTAGGACAGGGCGCAACGGATGCCGATGATACAGCAAAAGGCCTCCTCGCTCTGAGGCTTCTGGGCAGAGAAGATGGTATATCTCCAGACCATCTGATCAGAACTTTCGAGAAGGAAGACGGATTTTCGACTTTTGGCGGTGAGCGAGACCGGAGTGTCAGTACAAACTGCCACGTCCTCCTAGCGCTATTAAGCTGGAACAACCCATCACAATACGCATTGCAGATTCGAAAAGCAGCAAGTTTCGTGTGTGAGTACTGGTGGAGCTTTCTTGGCCAGTGCAAGGACAAATGGGTATCAATTTTCCAGCCTCGTTTCGCTACGTACATTTACTGATGAACTCTGTCAGCACCTCAGTCGCTTCTATGCATGGATGTTGATTGTGGAGTCCTTGGCCAGCCTTCTGCAAGTTGTGGAAGCAAACCTCCTCTCGGATCTTCTGGACGACGATCTGAAGATGAAAATTGCTGTGATCCTCACTCAGATCTGCGTCCGAACTATGCAAGAACAGGAACCTGATGGCTCATAGGAAGAATCCGTGCGAGCAGACAGCATACGCCGTACTGATCCTTGGTAAGGTATGCCGTATGTGCTTCTTGAGTGGTATGTATGGTGTCTGCCTCCGAGCACCAGTAATTGTTTTTGGATTCAATCTCTCTAATCAACGGACAGATCTTGCTTCTATCATAAGATCAACGATGGACCTAGGAGTCGCATATCTGGAAAATCGAGAGACAAATGCTTACGATGAACGATACTGGACTTCGAAAACCCAATACGGCGTCAAATTTGTCACGGAAGCTTACGTCTTAGCAGCTCATCGCGTAGCACTTTCCGGACACGCGCAGGCAACAGTAGGGCCAAGATTAGGCTTCACAAACGACTTGGCCGGAATGAAAGACCTTGGCTAGTTACTCAAGCGGACAAAGCACTTCCGTAACATGCCAGAGTGGCTGATGCAAGCATCACTCATCGAGTCAACTCTCTGGCTACCAGGTTTGCGCACTCGCCGGCTTGAAATCTTCCCACGCGATGATCGTCGTATTGCCAAGGACGCATACTTCACGATATTGCCTGCTCTGTGGATCTGCTGCCAGAACCGCTCCAAGAAATTCGTCCCCAACAGTTTCGTCAACGACATGTTATTCATGACGTTGATCAACATTCAAGTAGACGAGTTCATCGAGGCCGTCATCACGCCTACCTTCGAAGACCATCCCGGAGACTTGCATGACATGATTGACCACATGATCGACGACGTTTCCGAGAACCGCAAATCACTGGAGATGGACGGAATTGTCCTCAGAGACGAGGACCGGGTAGAGGTATGCTTACTCCGCTGGGAGCCCGTCGAAACACTCGCCTTCCAACACTGATCCGCTATCACAGAAATTCCTCCCCCTCCGTCGCTTCGCCGAACATATCCTCCAACACGAACGCATCCGCACCGCAAGCCGTCGTGACCGGGCCATCTTGCAGCAGGAGCTTCGAAGCTTCTTACACACACAAGCAACGCAAATGGAAGACAACAGCAAGCTTCGCAAACAACCCGACGAGCAAAACCTGACCTTTCACACCGAAATTCCATTCTTCACCTGGGTACGAACGACCGCAGCGGACCATGTATCCACACCATTCACCGTCGCATGGGTCCGCTGCTGGATTTCTTCCGTCGTGGGCAAAGGCACCGAAGCCTTCCAACTTCCCACAGAAAAGTATTTCGCATCAGCTCTGGCTCGACACATAGCAACGACCAACAGAATGTACAACGATCTGGGTTCCATTCGACGAGATGTAACCGAACGGAACCTGAACTCCGTACATTTCCCCGAGTTTGCGGGATTTGATGCGGTGGAAGAACGGAAGAAGGCACTTCAGAGCTTGGCTGAATATGAGCAGAAATGTGTCGAAGGCAGTCGTGAGAAACTCGAGGAGGCGTTTCGAGAAGCTTGCTCTGGGGCGTTCGAGAATTCGAGGGATGAAGCGAAACTGCATATCCTAGGCGCTCTGTGCGATGTTGCTTCGTTGTGGGACCAGCTGTATACCATCCGCGATCTGTCGAGTCAGATTAAACTTGATAGATCAAAGCCTTAGAGTACGTTTGGATGGCATTTCTGCCTCGAAGCAACGTCATGGTTGATTTCGCCTTCGCGCTTAGAATGCTTGGAAAGGGATGCTGGTCGATCCATTAGAAAGAGCAGGCTTCATTGCGGATATTCGTCTGAATCGCCTTCGAAGATGAAGTAAGTACTTCAGCCATAGGCAATAGAACGATCGATCGATCATGAACGATGAATCCAGCCAAACTCCAAACAGCTTGCTGTCGAAGCCTCAGCGACGAAGGCACCACTTTGTAAAAAGGTCAGAATCAACCTCTTTCGGGCCACGACCATCTAACTCTTCAATGATCGTAGACATTATTCACAGTATCCCAACGCCTCAACTTCACCTCAAAGATCCCGATCCAGGATCATGCTCACGAGGTGCAACAACCGCAGCCGCAGCCTCTCGTTGCTCATCAACAGCATTTCTAGCAGCATCAGAAATCTGCCGGATCGCCATTTGCGCCTGTTCTTGTCGTTGAGCGATCGCAGCACGTCCAGCCTCTGAGGCATCTGATATGGAATTTTGCACTTGCTGCTGCTGTTGTGCCATCGCATCTTCCGCCGCATGCTGGGTACCCTCATATGCGTGATCTACTCCAACTCTCGCCGCGTCAGCTATGCCACCCGCAGAATTCTGCGCAGTTTTGAGATAATCATGTGCCAAGTTCTGTTGCCTCGCAGCCTCTTCTCGCGCAGCTTGCACAGAATAATCGTGAACACCATCATAAGCATTCCGAGCTCCTCGCTGCGTCTCAGCCTTAGCCTTCGCTTCCAACTCCTGCCCAAAATTCCCGATTTCCTTAACCGCATGCTCGACTTGTGCGGCGATGCCTTGCTTCTTCTCTTTAGCCATATTCTGTCCATGCGACTCAATTTCTTTCTCCATCTGTCCAAGATCGCGAAGTTGTTGTTCTAGCATCTCTTTAATACCCTGCGCCTTGCCGAAAAAGCCAGAAGCGGATGTTTGTGCTTGGTTCAGAGCGACGTTCGCTTGCGCTTGCTTCTCGTTGAAGCCGTTCGTCCATCTCTTGCTCAATGAGTCCGTGCTAAGTGTTCTCGCGGGTCGCTCTGGCGCATTCATACGATTGTTGACGCCCACAAATCGATCTGGGGTATTGGTCTCAATGTCCGAACGCACGAAATCATACATTGTGCGGATGTGATCGACCTCCTTCATCACATCGTCCCGGCCGAGGACGCCAAAGCTGAAGTCGCGCTCGCGTTGTTCGATGTATTCTCGTAGCTTTGCCCACTCGTGCTGAAAGTATTTGACTCGATTGGGAAGGCCGGAGCCTTTGAGGTAAGTGAGGAAGCCGGCAATAATCGTGTTGATGGCGCCGAAGACTGTGACCTGGACGGACACATTAGCAAAACGTCGACACCTACAGATTTCATGGTACGCACTGCACTACGGCTACCATTCGCCGCACCTAAAGCTGTCAGTGCCGCTGCAACAACGAGCTGCAAGCCTAGAGCAATGTTGATGACCCTCGAAAAGGATGTGTAATTCCGCTTGCACTTGATCTCCTTGTCACAGACGCTGGTGTAGATGCCCATATTCGGACTCGGACGATGATCAATAGAAGCCTGCGGTCGACGGTTTGGCTTGAATCCTTGAGGCGGGCTGAAGGATTTGTCTTGATGGACTACAAGATCGCGTCAGTAATGCTGATCTGTGGTCTGAAGCGATTCCTTTGAATCCAGACATACTGCCTAAGAGGAGACGAAATTGCTGTAATGGCGTCCTTTCGTCTGGATCTTGCACGCTTGGGTCGTGGTGGTGCCAGAAGGAGGACTTGCGTTCCCCTCCGTGGCCGGCTTCTGTTTGTTTCTGTCGATTCATTGCGTCAAATTCGGAAGGCCGTCGAAACTCCTGCCATGCGTGACGAGCGCGAGTGACAAAGTCCAGAGTAGAGTCCATTATGACTACCCAGGTGACTCTCAAGCTTCACGAATCGTGACAGTCCCTTTGATGTTGTAGACCTTGTCAAGCCTGGCTGTCACTGCGTGCTGCTGAGCTACTGTGAGGCCATACGCTCGCTCCTCTGGGTCCGGAAGTATTCGTGAGAAGACAGTGAATACAGCAGTGGGGTCTCTAGCTTGATGAAGTACTGCCACAAGAAGCTCATCTGCAGAGGCGATGGAGGCATCGCCAAAGCTAATTCATGTGATTACACCACCACCTGGCTGAAGCGTCACGCCATGTGAATATAGGCGTGCTATGGTGACTTCCGATTGCTTAGACTTCGCTCCGGTTGATCATAGTCACTGCTCGTTTATGAATCGTGGCTGGCGTTAAAGCATGGTATATCTGTACTACCTGACTGTCCGATACCGAATATAGAAAGCACAATAAGAAGATCTCACTCTTATTCTAGTAGTATAAGAGCAGAATGTCTCCGAGGCATAAGATCTGTGCCTAACAACTCTGGTGCTTCAACAAAAATGTTGTATAGGCCTAGGACAGACAGACAATTCTTTCGAATAATGAGAGACAGGGACGCACAGCTGAGCGCGTGAAGTGTCGCTGCAGCCACAACGCCCAGCAGACGCCATCGCAGCTGCATAGCCGGCCGATGCCGAGGCTCGATAGCAGACATGCAATTATGCAAACAAGCGTGTCGGATGATGTCAGGACGAGTATGTCAGCAGTGAGTGAATAAACAGCCAAGCAGCAGAAAGTAGTGAGGTCTGCGGGCTGACCAACCCATCTCGAGCCGACAAAAAAGACGATTCTAGGATCATAATCATATCGGATCGCTACTCAATAAATATACACAAACTCATCATTCTTCCTATCCGTCAAATCCAAAAAGGCCTGATCCCCAATCCTCGCATGCTGCTGCACCCCAGCTTCCACACGACCCTCCGCAACGCCCGACGTAATATCAATTTCTCCCTCGATATCGTGATACTTGCTTTCCATACTGACATCCTTAATTTTTGCGGGCTTGCCGTTCTTGACTCTCTTACGTTCCTGGAGCTTGTTCAGAACCATGAGGTTGAAGGCTTGGAGAATCACACATGCTGCGAGGGCGACGAAAATGCCTAGGACCGCGCGGAGGCCGGGGTGATAGGTTGGTGCGTCGCGGGAGTTGAAGAGGAGTGGGCCGATGATGTTGCCGGAGGATGAGGCTGCGTTGAATACGGACATGACTGCTGACTTCTTGGTTGCGCCAGCGGTGTTTCCGACGATCCATGAGACGATGAGCGGGTTTCCGCCGAAGAGGAAGGCCAGTAAGTAATAGCCAGCCAGCAGGGATCCTTTATGAGCATCCGTGTGTGAGATGGTGTACAGCATTGCGAGACCGGCAATCACGGGTAGGCAAAGACAAGCCAGGATGATGGACTTGATGCGGAAACGCTGTGCAGCCCAGGAGGCGAGAAGGATGATGGTGAATTGCAAAACGCCGAATGGGATGTTCATGAGACTTGTAATGAACTTGTCGTAGCCAAAACCTTTGATGATGAGGGGCCCGAAAGTGTTCGTGACCGATGCTCCAACGTTGAGAAGCAGGGATAAGCTGACCCAGAGGTATGTCTTGGTATCCAGAGCCAGCTCAAGCACATGAGACCACTTGAACTCACGCGATCCAGTACCGGTCTGGTTGGCTCGAAGTCGTTCAATGGCCTTTGGCTTGTCTTCGTCGGAGAGAAAGCGAGCGGAGGGGATGTCGTTGTCGAGAAACCAGTACAGGAATGGGGCCGTGATGACGGTGACCAGTCCAACAAACAAGAAGATGCTGTTCACGATCAGCGAGCGCAGAGTGAAGTCGATGCTGAAACAACCTACATCTGCCATGACTCCAGGACGGAGGAATGGATGTGTCCGAGAGCAAAAGAGAGGAGACTGGCCGCGATCGTGGCGAGGCCGTTCGTGCTGTACCACGCAGCGACCCGAAGCGGCTGTTCCGCTCGGCGAAACCATTGGGAGGTGATAATGCTGAAAAGAGGCAGACAACCACCCTCGAAGAGCCCCAAGAAGAAACGTGCTGCCAGCAGTCCACCGTAGTTGTGACAAGCAGCCATACACGTCTGGGCAACTCCCCATCCGAACACCAGAGATGGCATGAGAATGCGATGAGGCACTCTCACGATGAGATACGACGAGAAAGGCTGCCATGCCAGTTGGGCGATAGGGGCGATGGAGCCCACCATGGAGTACTGGTTGCCTACGAGACCCGTCGATTCTTTGAGACCAAACGTCGCACCGTACCCGAGCACTGACTTGTCGAGGATCTGGAGGAAGTATGCCCAGACCAGGATTGTGAGGATGACTTTGTCCGTCTTGCGTCGGATGCGTCTGTTCTACGGCATTGTCAGTGTGACTCTCCGAGCACTACTGGTCCGGCCATCAGTACATCTTCCTCGGTCAGGCTGACTCGCCCGTCTCCAATGATTGCAAGCGCAAGATCGCCATGTTTGGCTGCGTCGGCATCAAGCGCAGACAAGCTCCCTCTTTCTTTTCTCCGCCCATCCTCGTTCTCCACCACCACATCCATCGACGTCTTGCTGGCCATGCTGCCACACTCGCTCCCCAGCAGTGCCGAGTTCTCCCCGTGTTCGTCACGAAGTCCGATGCTGGCGCCAACGTCGTTTGTGTACTCGGATTGCTGCCGGCCGGCGACAGATGCCGATGAGGAGGAGGAGGAGGTGGTGGCGGTGGTGGAAAAGCTGGAGTCCCCGACGGAGCTCTATATATACCAAGAAGCCAAACCACGGTTGGCTTCACTTAAGGCTATTGTTGCTTCCTATTATTGTCGCGCCTTCCTTACGCGCAACTTTACCGCGTAAACCTTACCGTACTCGCTATTCCTTCGCGCCTCGACTCGCTATATTCTTCTTTATCTTCTACCTTTAGCGATAGCGATAGCAATAGTAGCGTTACTACTACTACTACCGTTTCGAGCTATAACTAGTATTTCGCGCGACCTTATTATTATAGCTGCTTTAGGTACTTCAGCGCCCGACTTAGTACCTACCTTACTAGTAGGAGTACCGTATTTATCGTAAGCTACGAAGCGTATCGCTATAGACTCGCTACTAACTCGCTCTAGACTTCGACGTCCTACGACTATAAATACGAAAGATTTCTAGTACTATAGCGAGCAGACATAGTAGGACCTTATCGACGATACTATAAATCTATAAAAGAAGAAGATAGCTTTAAATAGAATACGTAAATACTTAGCTGCTAGTATAATTATAGAGACTAAGTAAGGAAAGGTAGTACTATCGCTATATTACTTCTATACTCGCTACGATAACGGCTATAAGTGTCGCGTACTAGATGCTAAAGGAGAGAGAGTCTATACTTATTATAAGTGTTAGGGCAAGAGTAGCTATACTGCTAGCGAGATTAAGGTTAAAGAAGACGATAAGAATAGCGAGCTAGCCGCGATATAGGCGCGAGTCGAGGCCCTAGAGTCGAAGAATACTCTATTAGAGGTAAAGAGCATTAAATTAAAGACGAAGAATATTACATTAGAGACAAAGATTAATACTCTTAAGACTAGGTTTACTAATCTAGAGGGTTATTATTAAAAGTGGTTTAAATAGCTTAAGACTAAGGCAATTATTAAGTTAAAGGATATATATACGATATAGAAGGAGTTATAGCCAAATAGCGATCGCGAGCTACTAGTAGAAGACCTTTAAAATAGTAGCGAGTCCGCTACGAGTATAGCAAATAAGATAGCGATTCTATAGCGAGTCTATAGCGAGTGTACTACGAGTCTATACTTCTACTTCTATATCTTATTTCTTCTTCCGACTACGCTTTAGCCTCTAACTCTTAGTATGTCCGCCGCTGTTAGTAGGTTGTTGCTACTTAGCTTACTAGCTAGGTTACTGCTTAGGTTGCTACTTAGATTGCTACTTAGGTTGCTAGCTAGGTTGCTAGCTAGGTTGCTAGCTAGGTTGCTAGTCTTTAGATTCGCTCGACCCTTTTAGAATAGACGTGCCTCGCGGTATCCTCGCGGTGTCCTCGCCGCTTAGGTTAATAATCTTAGGCGGCTTCTCTATATCGATTATCTTCTCGGTCTATAGCTTTTCTTTCTTAATCTCTATACTGTTAACTACTCTATACTTACTCGCTATAGTACTCGTAGTAGCACTCGTAGTAGGAGGAATACTTAGCCGGTACTTCCGCTTTTGCTACCTTTATTGCTACTGCTTCCGTAACTAGATATAGATAGGTACCTCGTAGATTGTTGTCTTTATCGTTAGTTTAAACGTAAAAAGAATCTATTTAATCGATAGCAAGCTAACCGCCTTAGAGGATACCTTGTCTAGTTAATTATCTTTATCGAAGCTAGCGTAGAAGAAGTAGTTAGTATAGTCTTCTATGCCCTTAATATCGCTATTGTTAGGTAGCTCGTCAATCCGTTTATTTAAAATCTAGTCGAGAAAGCTTATATTAGCGGCTTTGTATACTTCTTTAGATACGGAATTAGTCGTAGTAGAATACACCTCCGATTTATAGTATATCTACGTCTCTATAGAGGCTATAATCTTAACTTCGACTCGCTAAAGATAGATAATATAGCGGTACCGGAATAGCTTTGTTAGCTCTGTTTTTTCCGAAGAAGAAGAAGCAGGTATTGCTAGACGCTACGAGAGGCTCCGAGACCTAGCGTTTAGTCGTTAAGTTAGCTTATACTGCTAAATAGCAGCGTTGCGTGCAGCGTTAGCCGACTTAGGTAGAGAGGGGAACGTATTATAGCCTCGTACTATACTCGTAACTACACTCGTAGCTGCCGTAGTAGCTGCTACTAATAGCTCGCGTACAAATCGCTTAGTTAGTAGATTAGGGTTCTTAAGGCTATATTATAAACAGTATACGTATAATTGAAACATTACTATATGCTTAACGCCTAAGATAGAGCAAAAGGTACCCTATTTAGCAGGCATTGTTGTGTTGTTAGTATAGAAATAGGTATAGAATAGAGGTAGAAATAGGTATAGAATAGAGGTAGAACTAGCTAGGGAAAGGACGAAATAGAACTAGAATAATCGACTCGCTATATACTCGCGGCTAGCTCGTAGATCGCCGATTAAACTATATTATTTTCAAACTCAATTAATCTAGCATCGGGGTTTATAAGCGCCTCTTAGTGCCGAGCCGTTACTAACGTCCAATTACGAGCTGCTAATAGCTTGTCTAATTCTACTAGTTCCGGCTCTTCCCCTATAGCTATATACTCCGTAACTAGCCGTCGAAGAAGTAAGTATATAAAGCGGTAAACGCGCTCTCTATCGCTATTATTCTCGCTGCTACTAACTAGATACAAGAAGTTATAAGCCTACAATGCTACCTAATACTAAGTAAGCGTAACCTCGGGTAGGTAGGCTTTAAGATCTAGGAGCAAGTATATTAGCGAGTCTATAGCGAGTCTATAGCGAGTCTAGAACTAATATATACCGAATTCTTAAAGGTCTTGCTCGATATTATTAAGTACGCCGTCTAGTATAGGAATACCTTAATAAGAATGCCCGCTAAGCTCTAGATAATAGTATAGAATATGCGGAATGCCTAATACAATATGTAGTCGCCTAGCCTGCTTCCAAATATAATAGCTATTCTAGAGGTAAACAAACTCGAGGACTTTATTACGTATAATTGGCATATAGATCGCAAGGAAGGCAATCCGGTCGGATAATAAATTAGTATCGTATAGTAACTCGCGTAGTAACTCGTAGAAATAGCCCCTCTAGCTATCTATAGCGGATACTTACTGCCGCTACTATAACTCAATCCGCTAGTGCATCTTGCTAGTGCCGTATTTAAAGCAATCCTAGAAGGTAGGTAGCGGTTCCTCCGATTCCGCCTTAGTACGAGTCGCAAGGCGAGTCCTATAGTAAGCGTCCGCGGCTAGAATCGTCTCCGCTCTACGGTCTAATTGGATAATCTATAGCATTATACTACTGTTCTTAATAGTTGCAACGTACTAAGCGAGTATAGAGATAGCTGTCCGGCTAGTAATGCCTATATAGATCTAGACAATGTAACGCGAGTAGACATTAATAGCTACATATATCTATATGCCCTAATGCTCGAATTTATAGTAAGCATCTATTAATATTGCGTATCTAGGGCCTAGTGTCCGAACTATACTATAGTGCTCTCGTACCCGCTCGCAGCGGACTCGTAGGCCTTTAGGATTTAGTAAGCAAGCTATACGATATAGCCTGTCTCTACTAACGATATTATATTTAGACCTAATATAGGTATATAGGTGCCTTCGGCTAAAAGACTCTACTAGAGACTTGTTAAGCTCTTCTCGTAATACCTCCGCTATCTCCTCTTCCGCTCGTGCTTATAAATACCGGTCTATTAACTTCTTTAATCTAAGCTCTTAACGTATCCGTTAATATCTCCGCTAGCTAATATTAAATCTATCCGCCTATAGTATTTTAACCGCCTCTTTATTAGTTAACCGTAGAATATAGAAGGTATAGGCGACTCGAATCTTAAGTTGCTCGATATCGTTAACTCGCTAGTTAGTATAACGGTTATACTAGATATTCCACTCCTAGAGCCTTCGTATAAGCGTACGCATAGATATCTAATAACCGGTCTCCTATAGAAGGTATTATAGGATTGCTTCCTTCGTAGTGCCCCTCTCGACTTAAGAGATTAACTAGGCCCTCTATAGCTCTAAATTAATACGTAGAGCTATTATACGAGTTAATAGCGAGTGTAGTGCGAGTCCTTAAGGTCAAATATAAAGAATTAGGTAGTAGAGGCGGTAAGAATAGCCTACCCTAGTTTGGCTTCTTAGTATCTACGGGCCTCCGTAGTCCCCGTAATTAGCACTAAAGGAGTAGAGGTCGGCTATTGCTACGCGCGTAGTATGACCTGACCTGCATTATAAGAATTTTCGTTGCCAAATAGCAAGGTTGGCACTAGAAGGGGTAGCTTGTAGGTGCGGCAACTTAGTATATAGCGTCTAATTACATCGGAGTGAAAGTAGGCATTCCCTAAACCCTTGCTCCCTATAGACTATAGCGAATAGCAACTTGCTATTTAGCGGTCCGACCCTAGTTACTTTTACTCCGATATATTAAGACGCTATATAGGCCTTCCGAGCCTTAGCTATTAGATAGAACCTTTTATATACTAATAGCGTACGTAAATAACTACTAAATCTATATTCTCTAGTATAAACAATATCGTTATATACTACTTCCTATCGAGTAACGAATAAGGTATTATTTAACGAAAGGCTTAAGTTAAAAGAGGAGTAAGGAGCGGAATTCGAAGCGGCTAATCCTTAGATACCTATAGAGGAAACTAATTTATATAAAAGTAGAAATAGGAAGGAAAAGATCGAGTTTACTATAGTAGATAGGCTAGATCTACCTCGATAGTAGAACTTTATTCCTCTATAGGCGCTATCTAGTATTAAGTATAGAACGTTAGTTTTATATCTCTAATATTAATAGGAATTACTTATACGATACAGAACTACCTAACGACTATAGTAATACCTCTACTAGTAAAAATAGATATAAAGACTATATCGCTAGTCGGACCGAGTTTAGTAAGGCCTAGAATCTCCTATAGAGGGTATAGGAGCTGTTTTAGACCGCGGAAGTAAAGGAGATAGTTACTAGGTTTACTAATTAGTAATTTAAGTAGTAACTAGATAATAGCCTTACTAATAAGGTTAAGCGATAGGCGGCTAATTATAAACCGACTACTAGCTAAGACGGCGGAAATTAATATCTAGCCCGGAGTCCCGGACTAGTATACTATATTAGCGTAGTTAATTAGAATACGCCTAGCGACTACTAGTCTAATAATTTAATAATACCGTACTACCGTACTATACGGCTTATAAAGAAACGTCGCTTCTAGTACTACTAGTAGGCAAAGAGGCCTACTAAACTATCTAATATCGTAAAGAATTAGGTAGTAGTAATAAAGCATTAGTATATAAGACTAAAGCTAATTAGTAGTTACGTAAAGGCCGCGTTTAAAAGACACTACTTACCTCGAAGCTAGGTATCGATTAACGAGATTATTATTCGCTTTACTATCCGTAGTAGATACGTAGTATATATATACTACGTCTTTCGCTATCGATTAGTATAGAACCCTATATCCTACGGCCTACGCGAGATCTATAGTCTATATAAGACTAATACTAAACTAATAGAAGAAGTCGCTTCGAAGATTAATCTACTATACTACCGAAAGTAGCTACGAGTTACTAAGCGAGGTAACTATATTAAATAGAATAAAGCGAAGCTACTAGTTTAGCTCTACTTCCTAAATAGATATAAGCCTATTCGAGTAGATAAGAAGTACTATTAATTCTATATATTTAAAAAGAGGTATTAGTAATAGCAAGCAGATAAATGTATAATAAGGTAGCGTTGCCTCTATATTAAGTACTATAACGACTTCTACGACCTTATATCCGATTATTACTACTAGACGTTACCTTATAGTAGACTAGCTATAGTATCTTCGAAGGCTGCTTAGCTATATTAGCTAGTAGACAACGACGCGCTAACTAGGCCTAATGTTAACTAAACTCGTTAAGGTGCCGCTCTAATAAATATACTTTACTAATAAGCCGATAAATTAACTACTCTAGCCTTAGATAGTAGTCTTTAATAGAAGAAAGGTTATCTATTCCTAGGTCTAGGTCTACGGATATAGCCGGCTTACTAAGCCGCCTTAATATCGTTCTAGTATCCTCTTCTTTAGGCTTCTTTACTTATAGTTTTAGTATAGTTCGTAGTATACTAGAAAGGATAGAAATCTAAGTTCTAATCTAGATATAGCGATAAGATAGACTTATTATTAGAATATTAGCTCTATAGTAATAGTAATAGAATTAGCCTTCTATACGGCTTAAACTACTTGCTTCCGCTACTTCTAACCGCTCTATTATAGCTTATATTTACTATAAGGTCTATTATATACTAATAGTATAGGATTACTAGTACCTAGAAGATCCTAGTATAATTATATACTAATAGTAAAAGACTACTAGTATTTAGAAGATTTTAGTATATACTAATCTAGAAGGCGCTTGGTTATTAACCTAACAGAAGGTTACTAGGGTTGAAAATACACTTTAGACAGCGAAGGGATGCAACTGCTCGACTGATCCTCCGCATCTTGGCCGAGAGGTGTTTCGGTGGCAAGCGAGGCAAGTTTGGGGTTGCCATACGTCCGGCAACTGGCGGTGAATAGAGAGCCGGGCATGCTATACCAGCTGCCCCTGCCCTGCCGTCTCCCTATCGGCTATCATGTATACACAATACACACCATATCCCGCTGGTCTGTATGCCAGTAGCCGATTCTGCGACCTCGAGGCATTCATGATTGAGGCATTGTCGTGCCTGCCTACCCCCCGACCATAATGCACCAAAGCGAGACTCAAGACTCACAGGCCGGAGAGCTCGGGCACCTCGACGAATGATGAACGCAACCAGCGCAAGAGCTTGGAATGTTGAGCGTCAGGCACATCGATGGACTGCGTTAAGATGTCGGTTGTGAAAGCTTGGAACGCAGGACCAGATCAACAGTACGAAGACTGTGCCACATACAGCGTACAAACAGCATATTTGAATGCGAATGACGGCGTCATCATAGTTCGCGATGATGACTTGCCAGCAATTCAAGCCCGCCGAATGGAGATGAGCTGGGCGACAAAAGATGCCCAGATGGCTGCGGAATACATACCACTTCGGTGCCAGCCCAGTCGGCACGTCTAAGCAAATATGTGCACCAAATTTGCCAGGCAAAGGAAAGTTGAAGGATTCTTCCGTAGAGAGGCTTCCTGTATCATATGCAGGTGACACTCTGCAAGGTTCTTCGAAAGACGGCAAGCCCAACTTAACAGGCCCAGGCACCTCTTCAAATGAGAATAAGCAGCAGAGTCTCTGAAGAGATTTGACACATCGTCCACGAGAGACAATAATTCGCTCCATCACAAACAAACCCCACAAGTAACACCACCACCTACTCCCATCATGGACCGTCTAATCGCAAAAGACGAGATCCTCCAAACCGTATACCGCATGAACTACGCCGAAGACGATTGAGACGAACACCTCATGCGATCCTGCCTCCTCTCGAACCGCAAAATCACTCTCGACAACTCCTCCCATCGAGAGATACCTTAGCTGGACATACAGTCGTGGAAGTGAAGGAGGCGACAGTCTACAGCTTCGCAACAACCTTCATCAAAGCCTCAACCACCTCTCCTGCACCTCTCTCGCCAGACCGAACAGCACCTTCCATATATCCCTTCCAAGCCTCACTCGTCTCCGTCCCAACAAAATGCAAATCTTGGAAAGGATCTCGAATCGCATGACCTGCTGCCTGAAGCACGCCTGGCGGTAAAGCCGGACTGGGACATCCGTAACCAGTAAACTCCTCATCACTCCAAGGCGTTGTAACGAACTCGACCAACTCGGTCCTAGCATTGGGAGAGCGGTATAAAGCGACGATTTGATCCAACAAGACCTTCTCTCGCGTGACCTGATCCTTCTTCGACCATTCTTGTCCGACCGTCCCAGCTACGAAACATGTCAAAACCCACTTCTTCTCGGAAGGGATGCTCGTGTCTCGAATCACTGCTGCAGGTCCGGTGAAGGATTGTATCAGGCCGCAGTAGCCTTTCGAGATCCAGAACGGTGACTTAAAGACAACCATGACTTTCTGGTAAAAGCCGTAACGGAAAGAATCGATCAGGAGCTTTTTCGCCAGAGGAAGAGGTGGGTCGAATGACATTTTCTTCAGGACTGGTGGTGGGACTGCGGAGATGACTTTGCGAGCTCGGAAGACTTCGCTGTCGGTTTGGACGAATACGTTTTCTTTGCTTTGCTGGTGGATAGCCTGGACTCTGCCAGAGAGCTGCAGGACATCTGATGGTAGAGAAGCGGCCAAACCTTTGGCGAAGGCCTGAGTACCCTCTTTGATGCGGAGGTGTTGACCGCCGCCCTTCCGATCAGAGCGCATCTGGAGCAGGCCACCGCCGCACTTGCAGTAGCTTAGGAAGAACAGAGCGGAGATGTCTTCGGGATCATGACCAAGCATTGCTCGCGTCCAGACTGTGGCAGTTTTCAGGGCATCGTCCGTGGCGCCAATTTTGCGTAGATATGCAGCGAAGGTCATGGAGTCGAGCTCAGAGTCGTTTGGGTAGGAAGAGTCGAGCTGTTGGCAATCGGCTTCTGTCTGATCCCGTACAAAAGCCACATTGTCTTTGATCGCAGCTTGGAATGGCGGGAGTTCACCATATGGAAAATCACTTAGCTCGCCTTCGGTATTTTGAAGCACACAGTTGCCCGTCGTATTCTGCTCGATCAGCTCGAGTTTCAACGTCTTTGCCAAAGCTATCATCCTGCTTTGATTTGTATCATTGATCCAAGCGGCGCCTAAATCAATGTTGCCCTTTCCATCGCTGGTCGTTGTCGTCCACGTTCTGCCTCCCACGCGGTCCCTCGCTTCAAGAATGACGCAGGAAAGACCCGAGCGTAAAATCTGTGCTGCAGCAGTAAGTCCTGCAAGACCAGCTCCAACGATCACAACGTCGACGGATCTTGGTGTAGAAGTGGAGGACAGTGCTGGACTGATAGGATTTGCCCGTGGCTTCGCGACCACGGCATCAATCTCGAACAACCATCCTTCCTGAGCCAGAGAGGGTACCGGGACGAGGGTCATTGCTGGTCGATGCGATCCGAGGAACTTTTGCATATGTCTCGTGTGAAGTCGCCGAGCTGGGCGATAGTTTACAATGTAGAAGGTGAGTTTCAACACATCCGAAACCTGACATCCTGCTGCGAGTATGATCTTCTTCAAGTTGAGTAGGGCAAGCTGAATCTGAGACTCGTAGTCTCTCGGTGCCTTGCCTTGATCATTAGTGCCAGGTTGACCCGCGATATGTATGATTTCTGCTGCATCAGAAGACGTTGCCGCAGCATAGTAGGCTTGAGCGCTGTTGCCCACATCAATCGTTTTCACTGCTGAGGGTGCCATGGCGGTTGCAGATCAATACGCATGCAATGTCGATTGTACTTTTTACTTTCGTGCTGAGTATTCTAAGTTCTCTGCGGCCGCCTGATAGGCGGTGTGGAGATAGGCCAATGCTTGTCACATGGAGAGTCCGGCCTGTCGCTGGTACAGGTCAGTTAGTTAGTTGGAAGATGTTGAGAAGAACATCTCCCAGTGTGTGTAGACATTCTTTCGCGCAGCTCTTGACTTCTAAGCGTCCCAAACTCTACGTACTCGGGATGGCCTTCCCATCTCGCTCGAGCTAGAATATCCATGGCTCTGCGTGCAGCGGCACTTGAACGTCATTCATCTGTCGGCCCCGAGGAAGCTGTTCTCTTACTCGGCCTGATACAGACAGGCTCTGGGCATTGGACGGGACGGTGTGAGTGGATGGAAGGCATCGGAGCTCATGTGCTTGCCGGTCGCATACATGTTCGACGTAGAATCCGTCTTGATCATGAGGGTCCGGGCATTGAGAGACAGTGGAATAGATTGCGAGTCTCTTCACTGTCAACGTTATGTCGAAATGTCGGCACAATGAGAAGTGGAAGGGAGTCCAGCAGGGCACGGTTGGAGATGTTCACAGCGATGTGGTTGGCCTGGTGGCTTGGCACCCCTGCCGTCGCTTCCAACCTCCAAGCACGATCAAGGTAAAGGCATCTGGGATCCTGATCAAAGCAGTGAGTGAATTAGCACTGCAGAGATCTTGTTCCGTCGACCACGCTCGATCTCCCGCACGCCATAAGCGACCTCATTTGCCATATCCAACCATAGACTGTGCATCGAGCCAAGACATGACAAAAGAGCTCGGAAGACCATAATATAGCTATGGCTAGGATAACGAAATGGCAGTCTATCAGATATGCGGCGGCCTATCGTATGGAGCCCACTCTTGGAACCAACAGATATGCTCTGCTGTCTTGCAATATGCTAATGAGCCGCTTTGGACTGAATATTCATGATAATCTGAATGGCCGCATGTTTCACAGACAAGCTTTACAGAGCTTCCGCTCTACCAACCAAAGATTTTCGATTTGGTCAACAGCCAGACAGAAACGATGCTTCTTATAACCCACAGAGCAGGTATGCAGGAATCTTCCGATCGCCTTCGCTACAGATACCTACTCTACCAGACACTCCAAGACGAGCCTTTCGCCACTATCGCGGAAAGATGAATGGGGAACGCAATCTCACGCCGGTCAGGCAGCCGATTCGATTCAACATCGACAATTTTTACCGAAGGTGTACGACAGACCAGCTGCGAGATTTCATTGCCAACCGACGACGCTCTCACGTGTGTTGGCCACGCCGGCAGGCTTGCCTAGCCATCCTCAAACAGCTCGACCAAGCAGCCACGTTTCGCTTTCTTGCTCTCCCGAACGACATACGGCTGATAATCTACGACGAACTTCTCCTCTTCGACAACGAGCCCGATCGAACTCTATGCCCGCAGATTCTAGCGACGTGCAAGAAGATCAATGAAGAGGCGACACCGATTTTCCAGCAGAATTTCCGAACCACTACTGTTGTACGTATCAACTATGAAGAGACTCCCGTTGTAGACAAGCCCACTTTCCGTCTCATAGGACCTTCGTGCTACTACCTCCCGACTACGTGCTGGTACGATTCCGAACGTGGATCTTGGTCGAAACTCGCATATACTCGGAGGAACTTCGGTTGGCTGGAGTTCAAAGCTGCTCCCGAGGTTCAAAACAAGGGACATTTGCTCGTGTACCTGCGTCTAGACGCGAGGGTCGGTCATATAAGATCGAGGTTGTGGGAACATATCGATGCCTTGGTGCAGCTTATCAACGCCCGAGACTCCAAGATCAAACATGTCGACATCAGGGTACATGCTTCTCTCAACAAAGGGCTCATATCCTGTGATACCTGGCTGTGTCTCCTCCAAGAACTAGCCACAGGTATCCGTTTCACCATCGACATCAGCTTGCAGGGTACGCCAAAGGCCTGTTCGGGTACGAATTGGCGCTGCGGTGGGAGTGTCCTCGACACATTGCAAAGGCGGAGAGTCAACGAGTATCGGTATCAGAAGGAGGGACTGCCTTGATTGTTGACCTATCGGATCTTGGGTACTTTGGCAGTAAGTCGGCTACGAGTTGGGCATGTTTATGCGGTTATATACTGAAACAATCCCGATCCGACGAACCTCTATAGTTAATATAGTAATCGAGCGAAAGATATTAACGCTAGCGTCTTCTAGGTTAAGTACGTTAGACGAGAAAATAAGCTATAGTTACTTTTATATAAGATAATATATAAAATATTAGTACGAGGATTGTACTATAACTCTAATTTCTTTAAGTATATATCGAGTTACGAGTAAAGCGGAGAGAAAATACTTACGAAAGTTATTAATAGTATAGCTTAATACTACTAATAAAAGTAGTAGGATTTTTCGCGAATATACTCGTACCTATAACCCTTAACCTATTATCTCCTCTAATCCTAAACTTCGAATCTAGTACTATATTTTTATTACTCGACGCTATATAGCAAGTATAATAGACCTAATAATCTACTACTTTAAAGCTACCTTACTCGTAACTCGAAATATTCTATCTAAGCCGAATTTCTATAGATACGCTATTAAGCGAAATAATAGCCCCTCGTCTCTATATTAGACTTAAATACCTTTCTCTTTATTCGTATTTCTAGTACCTACCTTATTAAAAGACCGAAAAATCGATCGTTCGTAGAATATAATCCTAATAGTTCTAGTATTATTATAATATAAGAGTAGGCTTTACGTACTAAACTAACTTTAAAGATTTCTAGGCCTCTAGGAAGCTAGAGTAGAAACCTATAAAGGCCGAGGATAAAGATAGGAGTTAAGAGAGAAGGATAATAACTTTAATATTATATAGAGAGCTTACCTATAGCTCTCGTTACGGATATAATAAAAGAAACAAGCTTTAGATTCTCTACTATAAGAAGTAGCTTATTTGTAACTAACTATCTCTACTATATCCGCTCGAGCTTTTTAAACTTTAAAGTAAGTTAGGTAATTAAGAATCGTCGCTAATTAGGCTTCGAATATATAATTAGTCGCTCTCGTATAGATAGATTATAATACTTAGTTGTAAGAAGGGTTATATTAGCAGGTAGATAGGGTAGTAGTAGGTATAAGTAGTATTCGATAAGGAGCTAGGAGGAGAGGGAGGAAGGCGGGCAAGTTAGCCTATTACTAAGCGCTAAGCCCTACCTAAGGTATTAAGACCCTAGCTTTACTCGAGCCTAGTTATATACTAATTACGTATAACCTCTTTAGTCCTAATATACGCTTCCCTTCTAAAGGCTACGCCCTTGTAGCCGGTCTTTGTTCTAATCTCAACCTCTATTACTACTAACTTAGTAGGTCTAATAAGCCGCTTAGTCCGCGCTAAATTAAACGCGCAACTACCTTATTATATAACTATATTACCCTTACCTCTAATATAATACAATGTTTAACTCTAACTACGCTATCCTTATATATAATAAACTATAAAGTAATATATATCTATAAGAATTAAGGACTATCGACTAATTATAATACGAGCGCGTCTTCCCTACTATAATAGGTAGGCGTACGAGGTATTATAGCACTGCCTCCGTTCTAAGTAATATCGTTCCGAGTTCTTTACGTCTACTCTAAAAGACCTAGAAATGTCCGCTCCGAGGGATTGTTCTTATTATTACGAGGGCTATTATTGTTCGTAGTTTCGCTAGCCCTAATTAGTTAGGTTTAGTACCCTTTAATTATTAATTAATCTTATTTTTTTAAAAACACAGTTCGTCTAGTTTCTATAGATAAAGGCTATTATAAGTGTAATAGTTAAGGTTCGCCTCGCTTAAAGGATCGGAAAGATCGAGGAGTAACCTATTATCCGTAAGATCGACCCTAGCTAGCTTAGCTCTATATTTTTCGCTCTTAGTTAGTCTAATAGTCGCTTAACCTTTTAACTTAGTTAGCGTATATTAGGGCTAAAGAGGCTATACGTAATTAGTATATAACTAGGCCGAGTAAAGCTAGGGTCTTAATGCCTTAGGTAGGGCTTAACGCTTAGCGTTAGGCTAACTCTCCTACCTTCCCCCCTCTTCTCCTAGATCCTTATCGAATACTACTTATACCTACTACTACCCTATCTACCTGCTAATATAACCTATCTTATATAGTATTCGATCTACCCTTTAAGGGCAGTAGCTAGATAGTCCTTATTTTAAGCTTTTAGCGGTATAGCTACGAAAACCGTTAATCTAACTATATTACGCCCGAAGAACGGGACCTATACGTACTATTCTATTAAAAACAACCGTACTAATCATTAAGCAAGGCCTTTTACACGGCCTATTATACTAAGTTAATCGCACTAAGCCGATACCTACTAATTCCGCTATATCCGTATCTTAGGGCCTAGGGGCCTATAATATATTATTAGTGTTACCCCTTACAATAGCCGGCTTATTACGAAGTAACAACAACCGCGGCGCCGCTAGTAGCGCTAGCAATAACAACGCTAGTAGTACAGTTCCCGCTAAAGTGTCTACTAAATTGCCTACAGAAGAGCCTACTAGAGAGCCTACTAAAGAACCTATAATCGAAGGGGATAACCTATCGTTGCCCGTTAACGACATTCTTAGCAATATTGTTAACCGCCGATATAGCTAACTAGCCTTTAGCCCCTAGCTAATATCGAGACTTTAAGAAGCTACTTAGAATAGGCTTACTGCCTTACGTTAAGAACAATAGCTAAAGGATAACCTCCTCGAAATTCGCCGCCTATAGGAGCCCCTAGTATCTAATACTAGACTAGTAGTAGGGCCTTCCTTACTAACTATTTAAAAGAAGGATACTAAACTTAAGGACTATACTATGTTCGATAGCTCTAGTCGGAAACAATACAACGACTATATTCGTAACTATAAGCTTAACTAACGCAATATGCCGAGAGCGCTGCTAGATAACTATTCCTTAGTCGTCTATGCTATATAGTACATTAATAGAGACCTAAAACGCACCTAGGATAACTATTTTAACTCCCTTAATAACTAGACCGCTATTTAGTAGCGAACCTATAAAACTATTATACTAGACACCCTTAGAAACCCTATACTAAGGCAATAACACGCTTAGGACTAGTACCTTCGAGCTAAACAAAAGACTAATTAATCGGCTCGCTTATTTAAGGCCTATTTAAAGACCCTCGAAGATAACCTCCCGGCTAAGACTAATTCTATATAGATCTCCGAGATACGCCTAAAACTTAGGTAGGAGCTTATCCTCGAATTAGACCGCCGCCGTATATTCGAATAGGCTAATCTAATACGTATTTAATTTATAGTCGAAGTAGAAACAGCTAAACGAGCTATTTAGCTCTAATAACGGTTAGAATCTAAGATACGCCTAGCTACCTATCGTAGCCGCGGATGCTAGGCATACGGTTATAGTACGAAGGTATTGTAACGGTTGTATAGTATAAAAGTTAATGCATTCTCTAAGGTACCGCGAGGCAAGCTATCTATATAATAGTCCTACTATTAGTAGCAATAGCGACCGTAGCGGTCGATAGTAACCGCTGCCTACTATCGTATATATAATAGTGTTATATCGTAATAGCCTCCCCCTCTATAAAAAAGGTCGGCACTGTCTATAGTATCCTAAAACAAAGGTCCTTAGTAGGCCGCACCGTAGGAAGGTTTAAGGCAAAAGAGCGTAATAGCGTTATATAAAGGCTAAGCCTAAACAGTATACTAGAACGGTAATGCTAGGTATAGAATCGTATCTCTCTAGTAATAACTGCGTCGGTTTTATACTTACTTGTTGCGACGGTTACGAAGGGCGTCGCGTAAGCTAGTTAGTATAGTCTAAACCGCCTTTAGCTGCGGCTAAGGCGCGACGGTCTTTATAGTCTTGTTATCGGATAGCGAGGTATTAACTACGTCCGCTATAGCAGTAGCGCGGTCTAACTAATCGATAGGGATATTAGGGAAGTCGGTACCTAGTAATAGTAGCGTGTCGGCGTCGCGTATAGCGCCGTATAGCTTAAAGTAGTCGGCTATCTATACGTTAAGCTTCGCGATCTTATCCTTAGTAGTATTGCCTTATACGCCGCCAAGCAGCTTAAAAGCGTCTTCGTTAATTAGGTATAGTATAGGGATTGCCTATTACGGCGCGACGCGCAAGAAATCGTAGTAAAGATAGGTTAGCGATAGCGTAAGCGACTCCTTTAAGACCGTAGCGGAAAGACGATACTACTAGGCTATCTAGCGCTTAGTTGCTTCGCGGATCTATGCCTTAGCTAGTATCTATTAAAGCTAGTATACCTCGGTTGCTACTAACTCGGACTAGCGTATATAGTAGAGAGCTTGTAAGTTAAGCGTACGTATACTAATTGCCGTTGCATTATATTAGTATTGTCCGTAGGCGCCTATAGTGTTTTTCTATAGAGCGGGTAAAGGTAGTAAGCGCGTCGGAAGCAATAGGAGCTTGTACTATAATAGCGCAACCGTATTGTTAGGCGGTAGTAGCTAAGCCGCAGCTAGAGCCTTCGTAGGCGTAGAGAATAGGTTAGATAGTAGCGGTATCTTCGACGGTAGGCGAGGCGCTAAGAATAGGCTAGCGGTTAGCTTCTAGCGAGTGTTTAACTTAGTCGATAGTAATACGCGCGAGGAATTTAGCTAGATCGCCTTAGTTAGCGGGGCAACGGCCGGAGGTTGCGGCTTAGCCCGAGTCGCGAGCTTAGGAGGGATAATTTTACTAAAGAGGCGCGCGTTAGTAAGGTCGGTCTCGTCTAGCGAGTAGTCGGGTAACGGTACTAGGAATGCGCCTATAGGATCCTAAGTATAGTCGATATTATACTACTAGTAATTCTTATTCGTTACTATCTTATCGTACTTAAAAATAGTATTGCCCTATATAATACGCTCCTAGACGCCTAAAGGATCGAAGACTAGATCGATAGAGGCCGTCTTCGGCAAATTATAGAACTATAGCGTTAGCGCGGGCTCTAATCTATTAGGGATAGTGCCGTCCTTAAGCGTCTAGATATAGGTAATAAAGGTAGATAA